TATTATTGGTAAAGCACGCAGGCAGCCCACCTCTTCTGGACATATTCTTATTACACACTGGCAATGTTCTATTGAATTTCAATTCGCTCGCTTATATCCAACACCACCTATTACTACTGTCAAAGCCGACTACGGTATACGGGGTCTTCGTCCTTTTCTCTTATGAATTCCAACTCACTTGGCTATACACACAGCTTGAAGTACCATGCCAGGTACTTCCACCTCTTTACTTCGTCACCTTTACCACTACAACGACGGCCACACAGTTTATTATAGGAATATATGTCCAAGCAAAACTTCAATACTATTTTATTACTAAGATCATGCCCTCTATATAATACAAGATTATCTCCGGATATATATTTATCCGGGTTACACACATTATGCACTTAGACTTTAAATTAAATTTATACATCATCGTTATGCAAATTACGATCACGCCATTCATGTAAATCCCGATCCTAAACGAACCCGGCGCCACGAAATCTTGAGGTACCAAATTAACCCGTGACATGAACTAGATCCCCCAGAACTTCATCCCCGAAGTTTCAACCTATACAAAAACAAATTCCAACACAAATTACCCACTTGCAATACACAACATTACCACCAAACCTAATACTATTTACATACACATACACTAACACTAAAATTTTTTTTTTTACTACAAACGCCCTTGAGACTGCAAAGTTCGTATATTCATTTTTCCAAGTTTATGCACATCGAGACGGCTTCCAAATATCGCATTTTCTAATCCATCGCACCCAACAGCGTGATCCAAATACAGCCGCTTGAGAAAATCAATCTTTTCATTATCACCCAATTTGATCGACCCCAACATTCGATTCATACGACCACTCTTGCCTGCTGAAAAAGAATGATATTCATCTAGCCAGCGACTGTGATCTTCCATGTCAGTAGAGCAACTAGACACAAATTTAGGCCTCACATGTTTATGATGTATTCGATCGACATCACGTTTTCCGATAGTCAACATTCCATTTCTAATAGTCCTTTCCTTCATCGCAACATTCTTAACTTCAGAAGGCATTGGCGCTTTAGGTACACCATCCATTCCAGGTTCAGCAACTTCATCACAGACTATGTCATCGGCGCATTCGATCTTTTTGGCTGGTTTGTCATTCAACATAGGTAGGACGTTGATTTCCTCATACTTTATCTGGTTTGCTACATCACCCTTACTTTTGTCAACCGACGCTCTTTCATCATTATTCCTTTTGCTCACATTGATCTCACCATTTTCTCTGTTCGCATCATTATTGTCAGATTCTGTTCTTACCAACGATTCCAAAAAGCCCTTCATCATCTCATCTATTCGCGTAACCACAGACAATGGTGCCTCCATCATTACAACTGGTCCATCTCCACCATCTTTGCTTTCTCGGGTTACTTCATCACTTGGATCAGGTAAGCATTTGAATTCCTCATCATTCATTTTATACATTTCACTATTCTTCAATGGAGTAACTATCATGTTTTTCCCTTTACTTATGTCAGCGTCCATTGTACCGCATTATCCCTATCAACACTCTCCTGGTAATTAAACGTTTCACTTCCACAATCACCAATGGTTTCAGCAACTTCAGCAGCTACACCAGCACAACCAAGGGTCCTCCACCTATTTAAATCAGGTATGATCATTGTTCTCATCCTTTTCTTCTGATCTACCTTTTCATTTCAACGACTACGTCCCAGATTATATGTTCCACTAGTGAGAACCATCCTGTCAGATTTTTGGTAATGAACGAACGTCTTATGTTCGTCCTTTTCAATACCAATTCCATATCGATAACAATAGTCGAATGCCTTATTTTCATCTTTTTCAACTCCATTTTCTTTTTCATAACAATGTCCATCCATATATTTTTCATCAATGTGACCTTTGTCTGCAGGTTTTTGATAACACACGAATGCCTTATGTTTATCGCTTTCAACATCTATTTCATCACAACTACAACGCTCAAGAACATGTTGTTCATTCAAATTATTGTTTTTATAGACACCAATTTCATCAACATTGCAGTATCCAACATTATAGCTTCTATTAACATTACCCATCTCTTCAGATTTTTGGTAATGGATGAATGTTTTAGGTTCATCCTTTTCTCCATCGGTTCCATCAAGATCACCATATTAGAGGATTTTTGATAACATTTAAATGTTTCGCCTTTGTTGGTTCTGTTCCTATCCGTAGCAGAACTTTCAGGTATGTTTGCTGGTCTTGCTTCTTTCGCATGATTCGTTCTTTTGTGATTCTCCATACTTATCTCCTTTTTACCTTCTTTGCCTTTCTCACGCATCATCCTATCATCTTTAATGTTCACTGCATGCCCAATTACATTGTCATTGCAATAGCCGACCTTATGCCTTCTATTTGCGTTTCCCACTTTTGCTGATTATTGATAATGGTTAGACCTTTTCCTTTTATCCTTGTGACCTTCATGCTTCACTCCCATGAACTTCATAAATCTAATGTCGTTCACTTTTGGGCTTATTTGTAACAGACAGGACTAGGCATAATGCCCTTTCTTCCGACACGCATAACACAATCATGGCCTACGGTACCATTGTCTTTTCCGCTCCATTTTCACGTTCTTTACTAACATAGCGACCATTTCGACCACCTTACCAAGCAACAATACCAAGTAATTGGCACCTTCCATACTTTAAGTAATGTTTGATTTTTTATTTTTATTTTTTTTTTTTTTTTTTTTCTTTTACAACTACTAACAATGGTTTTTTTTTTTTTTTTTTTTTTTTTTTTTTTCTTTGATTACTTTAATCGCATATAATTGCTGCCGGAAACCTTGAGTTCAACAATTAGGACTTTTCTTCACACAGCACAAGTCTACCCTTACGAATTCTGCGAGTAGAACCTTCGTCTGCCCAGGTCCTTGTGTCAAAGCCGACTACGGTATACGGAGTCTTCATCCTTTTCTCTTACGAATTCCAACTTGCTTGGCTATACACACAGCTTGGAGTAATGTGCCAGGTACTTTCACCTCTTTACTTCGTCACCTTTATCACTATGATGACAGCCACACAGTTTATTATAGGAATATATGTCCAAGCGAAACTTCAATACCATTTTATTACTAAGATTGTGCCCTCTATATAATACAAGATTATCTCTGGATATATATTTATTCAGGTTATACGCATTATGCACTTAGACTTTAAA